GATATCTCCAGGGGTGCCCTGGGAGCAAAGCCCCCCCAGATGGGTAAGGACAGGGTGCCCTCTCAGCAGCCAGGACAGTGCACGCAAGGATTGCTCTGCAGAAGAGAAATAATGGCTCAGGCTGAACTAGCAATTTTCTGGAAAAAAGGAACTTATTTGGGAAAAGGACAATTTTAAAGAGACTGAGACTGTTCATAAATTCAAGTCAAATTTAGAGATTACTTTCAGCCTCTGGGTTCTTCTATCCCCCCCTTTCCCTTCCCCCCTTCCCCCGAATTATTGTTTGCAAAAATTAAAACAAAATGTTTTGGGGCTTTCGTTTGTTTAAAAAGTAATTTGCATTTTGAAAATTGCCAAAATATAAGCTTTGGGAGGGTGGGGTCTTTTGAAAGGGCAGCATTGTCATTGCTGAATGAAAACCACGGAGAGGAATGCGTCCTGGGAGACGCAGGGCACTGGGACATGGGGCCTGGGGGACACAGCAGCAGCACAAAGACCACAACCACAGCTCCCACCACACAGCTCCAGCCTGTGCTTCCATTCATGTATCTCCTTTCGTTCTCCCAAATGGAAAATCCTGCCCACCTTGACCTTCTTTGAGTGATTAATTTGACCGAGTCGCTGTTTTCAATGCGGAGAAGATTCTGCGGTACTTTCTTCAGCCGGGTCCAAACCACAGCTTTCCCCTTTTCCACTCCAGCCTTCTCCAAGTTTCTGAACATCTGTGTTTAAATGAAACCTGGTTATTCATATCGGAGCCTGGCTGCTCAGGTAGAGACAGTTTGATGAAGCTCTGTACATCTGTGTGCAATAAAGCAAGCGAACAAAAGGCTTGTGAGGTCCTTGGCAAGAGGGGAGAAAGAGGAGAGCAGGAGACAGCAGCACTGAGCTTAGCTGAGCAACTGCAGCCAAACCCTTTCATCAGAGAGATCTCAGCACCTGGCCCATGTTTTGCTCATAGCTGGGTCTGCAGCCCGTGCAGGGGTGTCTTCTCCCCCAGGTGAAAAGCAAAGCGTGGGGCGTGTAGGTGATGCCAATACCGGGAGGTGATTTTTACTACAGCTGGCAAAGGCATTCATAGAAAGAAAAGTTGGGTTGCTAAAGAGCCACTTAGTGTGGCAGGGAAATTCCAACCAAGAAGCAGTGGCTGAAAATTAAAGCCAGGCCAAGTCGTGTCAGGAGCGAGGCAGAACTCTTTAGCACAGCGGGGGATTAACCTCGGGTGAGGGAGAGGGAGGGCAGGATCCGCCTTTCCCGAGTGCCTCTGTCCAGGGAAGTGTGGCTGGGTGAGCCACACGCCCTGCACACCATGGAGAGCATGGGGAGCACCCAGGGACTGTGCACAGGTTGGGAGATGGGATCCAAGAGCATCACAACCTGCTGCTGGGTCCACAGCACTCTGCACCTCAGGGTGATAGATCCCATCCCGACGTGTCCCAGCAAGGACTTTCTGCTGCCTGGATGAGTCATTTACTGCATTGCCCTAATTCCTCTGTCCCTATGTGCTATTGTCAGGAGAAAACAGGATGGCTATCTTCCCTCAGTCAGACCAAACCTCTCCCACTGGGCATCTGCAAACACATCAGGCTGCAGATGGAGCTTCTATCCAGCCCTGGCTGGTGGCCAGGGGTGCACAGCACTGGCCACTCAGGACCCAGGCACTCAGGGTGAACACAGGAGGCAGTAATTTCAATTAAAACCACTCTCCCTGTGTCAGTTTGGCCACTTCTGTCAGCAGAAACAGGTGGATCAGGAGGGGGTGGATGATGGCAGTGCAGCCGTGTGCTAGGAGGCAATCAGTGTCCAGGGGTGTCCTCTGTGCCTTGGGAGTGCAGGTGGAAGGAGGAGACAGAACAAAGGCTGAGCTGATGGAGCCAAAAAAACCTGAGAAGTCACAGTGGAGGGGTGGCTGTTGCTCCCTGGCTGCTTGTTGTGCTTGTGGGAAGCTCACAGGGAGGTCATGCTGCTCGTGGAGATGGGCTGGACCAGCCCACACCTTCTCCCAGCTCATCCACTTCCTCCTTGGAGGGTTTATACCCCAAGGCATCCACAATATTTAGGTTGTTGATGCTGGGTGAGGACAGGGATGGCTGTTTTGGGGAGCTCCTTGCAGCGTCTTGTGAGGTTCATCTTCTTCCCTTCTTCAGACACTGGATTTTCCCATCCCTGGAAGATCAATGTAAAATTGACCCCAGGAGCAGAGCTCTGAGCTGCTCTGCACACTCCACTTATTCCTCCACATTCCTGTGCAGCTCTGCTCTGGTGGGACCAGCAGAAATATTAGCAAAGAACTTGAGAAAATCCCAAGAGTCCTGTTTTCCTGGCTCTGCAAAAACATTTCTGCTTATCAAGCAACCCAAAGAAATGCGAAGATTTTCAGTCACTCTTCGTGTGGGCTCAGCTTTGAATTTTAAAAAGGGATTTGCCAATGCAATCTTGCAAAATACTCGAGTGCCAAGTCCAGCTCTCCTAAAATACAAGTTTTAGGAGGAGGTGAGCTTTCACTCTCTGGGGAAAACATGCATTTCTGACAGATTCAAGGAAGAACTAAGTCTTTTGTGAGGCCATGCCACCCCCTGGAGAAATGTCTCCTCTTGTTAATCAACAGGGACTAAATCCTGTGGTTTGTAGCACCAAAGGCAGAGCTGCTCATGAGCCTCAAGGCTTTGAATGATGGAGATGTGCCCATGTGGGTCACAGGCTACAGCAGGGATGACCAACCCTCAGACTGAGGGATTTAAATCTCTTTTTTCCTCTGCTTGAGCTGAGTCCTGAGGCTGTGCCACTGATACAGGTGTTGCCTTGGGATTTAGGTACAGCCAAGAGATCATCCTTCATGTCACAGCCCTGGTTCATGCCTGGGGAGAGGCTCTGCCTTCAGTGAAGGAACCAGCCCTTGGCCCTGCGCCTTCTGCACGCCCAGAAAAAGGGTTTAATCTCAACATCTTCATTCACCTCTGTAAAACAAGGATTTTACCTTCTGTAAAACAAGGATTGGGACTCTAAAAACTTCACCTCCTTCCCAGAAGCTCAGCTCGTGTATTCTGCAGGGTGAGAATCACCTCTAACCCCCTATTTTTACCGCGTGTGGTGGAGCCATCGTGGTGCTGGGGCTGCTCAGCACATGTGAGATGAGGAGGAACCAGAGCTGAGCAGCTGCTCCAGCAAGGCACAGCATGCTGCTCTTCCTGAGGTTTAGATGGGAGGGGAAAAGCCTCCAAAGAGGGCACAGAAAGTGCCTGGTGTGTGCTCCTGTGCTCCTTTTAGCTGCAAACAGGCTGTTAAAGCGCAGCATCAGCACATGTGTCTGTGAGACCGACCAGATCCAAACAGCAGCCGTTCCCATGGGATGCAGGAGCGGTGTCTCCGGTCTCCTTGATGGTCATCTCCTGTTTCAGGAGTTGACAAATGCACCCACGGGCTGCTGGGCTGATCTAAAGGAGAGGCAAACCACGGTTCAAAGCCGTGGCCCCGCTCAGCGTCAGGAATCTCCCTCCCTCCCGGCCGGCAAAGCACTCCCGGGCCACTCCTGTCACCATTGGCACGTTGGTGGCTGCTGCTCCTGCTCTGCCAGCGTTTGGTGGGGACCTGAGGTTTGGCCTCACCACGCCAGCTGCAGGAATTCTGATTGCAAGGCATGGAGAGAGCAGGCTCCATCCCACTGGTTAGATGTGGATGGAGGATTTCGCTCTTCCCTTTCCTTTCACGTCTCGTGTCAGCTGGGGGTTGTTCCTGATGAATAATGCGGAACTGCACTGTAATTTTCTGGATTGAAATTTGATAATTAAGCAAATATAGCATGTCTTTGTGTTGGGCAAGCACCATAAGGTAAACAGGAAGGAATGAGGGATTAAGATGTCTCTGCTCTAAAGGAAGGTGACAAGCCCAGAGCTGTGACACCTTCGTGCCGAGCCGAGAGGCCCAGCTGTGGGCTGGCATGGCACAGCTGCATTGTTCAGGGGTGAAGAGCAAATAAAAGCAAGGGGAAAAGAAAACAAGCTATAAAATTCTCAGCAAAGCCCAGAGCCCCAGCAACTGCCTCTTGATGTCCCCGTGACAGCTCTGGGGAGAGGCAGGAGAGGGGTCGGGCTTTTGAAGTCCTTAAGTTGTCCTTTGCGAAGGCCCCCTGTTAAAATAGTGCCTGTGTTGACATTAGGCTGCATATGGTGGAGGAATTGGACATCTCAGTCACAGCACATGCAATCAAAGCACTGGGGGACTTCTTGGTATTTGGCTAACAGGGTGTCAGGCCGGCCCTGCCCCAGGCGGGATGGGGGATGTTGAGGCAGAGGTGAGGTTTATCAGCATACTCGAGGCTGCAGATGAGTAACAGAGCCTGTGGTATGGAAAGACGAGGAAGAAACTAGCTAGGAAGGTCTTGAAATGGTATTTGGGGCTCAAACGCACACGTGGGTCAGAACTGGTGAGAGTGGGAATACCGGGAAGGTCGGGCAGGTGATGATGGAAATGCCCTTCCTGCAGGGGTGGGCAGAGGGGGTTCCTGAGGTACTGACTGGGAAGTGGGGATTTCATGGCAGTTTGGGGGCCTTTGTGCTGAGCAGTAGCACAATACAAAGTGAGAGTGGATGAGAAGGGTGCTTGCTTGGGACAAAGTGCTTGTGACAAAGCTGGAGGAGGAGTGTGGGGGGGTGTGCTCTGTTCCCTGACCATGGATGGGCTCCCCGTCCTCACAGCCCTGCCTGCACCCAGATTCTAATCCACATTAAGAACAGGGAGAGGCAAAGGCACATTTTGCTGCAAGGATAGTGAAATGAGGTCTTGGTGACCTCAGCTTCCCCTCCAGAAAGCTGGACTTATCACACAGCCTTGGTCAGGAGGGGATATGGGTCAGCAGCTGTCACCAAAGCATCCCGCCCTGTGACACCCCGCTCTGACAGAGCACACTGGGTGCCCAGCCCTGCTCACACAGGCTCCCCTGGGTTTGGCACCTCCGTGGCTGGGCACAAATGGTGACAATCTCCACTCTTTGCCTCTCTCAGCCTGCAACTGCAACCTGCACGCCCGGCGCTGCCGCTTCAACATGGAGCTGTACAAGCTGTCGGGGCGCAAGAGCGGCGGCGTCTGCCTCAACTGCCGGCACAACACGGCGGGGAGGCACTGCCACTACTGCAAGGAGGGCTTCTACCGAGACCTCAGCAAGCCCATCTCCCACCGCAAGGCCTGCAAAGGTACCGGGGTCGGGCGTGGGATGGCCGGGACCCCGCAGCTCCTTCCCCTCCCGCCCCTTCCTGCAGCTCCTGCTCCTGCAGGAGCCAAACTCCTCCTGCTCCTCCCTCTCCCAAACCAATTTGAAATGACTTTTCTTGCCGTTTGAAATTGCTTTTCTTGCCCCCACGTTCCCTGATATCACCTCTTCCTGGTCTCCTCCTGGTGAGGACGAGGCCACCGAAATACAACAAGTCCTCACTGCTGAGGATGACTAAATTATTTCAGTGTTTATCAATTACCACGTGCTTCGTCTGCTAACCTGGTCATCACACATGTAAAGTGCACAAAATCCCAGGTATGGGGTCAGATGTATCATCTGTAAATCAGCCTCCCCCAAATACCCATCTCCAGCTCCCCCACTCCACCCTCGCCCGGCACTGCTGGGGCACAGGCAGCACTTAACCCACGCACAGAACATGTCACTCCTCCGGACGAGGAGGGAACAGTAAAAAGGGAAACGAGTTTATTTTGAGCTCAGAGTTTTTTGAGGTTTCCTCGTGTGGACGTGGAGGCGAGCTGGGCTTCAGCTGGGGCGGGAGCAGCAATAAGAGCAAATCCTGCAAATGAACCTTTTTCGCTCTCAGCTGGGGGAGACGTAAATCCTGAACCTGAGGTGCAGCAAAAGGAATCAAGCAAACATTCAAAAGGCAGACTAGAGAATGCTGGTGTTTCCCACAGAAATCTTCAGCTCTTTTCTCTCTAAAGACTCATTTCAATAAGAAATGAAAAGCTTTTTGGCCTTAGCTGGGTATTTTTGGCTGGAAAGTTTTGAGTCTTCAGCATTTTAATTTTTAATGAAAATGCTGCTTCTTTATTTTTTTTCCCCACTGAAAACAGACACTTTTTGCCAAAACAGAAAAAGAAACCACTTCTTCAGACAGTCCTATTCCTCCCTCTTCACCTTGTAAAAACTATTCCAACGAGATATTTTCGACCCACCCTGCACTGAGGCTCCTGACCAGCTCCAGCTGATGTGTGGGCTGCTGGGAACCCCATCCCTGGGCCTGGGTGGCAGAGGAGCTGCCATTTCAGGATGCAAAGAGCCAGAAGAGAGGGGTGTTGAGGGGCTGAGCCACTTCCATGCCAGCCCCAACACCCAGCATCCCAGAGGGACCCCAGCTCTGGCAGGGAGCTGCATGCTATGAGTGGAAATGCTTTGTCTCCCCATCCTGAGAGGATCTGTGTCGGAATAAAGTCAGTATTTCTGCCTTCACAGCCAGGTCACTGATGAAATAACAGTGAAACAGCAGTGAAGGAATGTTTGATTGGGCCAGTCAAATGGAAATGGTGAAGGTGTGGGCACTCCTTGTGGGACCCATGTGGACATCCATCACCCTCCATCATCAGCACTGCTGCTGTCCAGAGCCTGATTCCTGCCTACCTTCCTTCTCCCCAGAAAGGGTTTGGGGCCGCCACATCGGGAAGAATTCTTGCCATCCCCAAGGACAGTAAACTCCTTCCCAGGGCTGTGGTTTCTGCCTCCCCAGCTCAGGGACTTCTGGGGATGTGGTGTGATTTGGAGGAGAGGGGGGCTCTTTGTCAGCCATGGGCTCACTGTGCATCCATAGGGATTCCAGTCCTCTGGGATCAGCACAGGGAGCATGAAGCAGGGAGAGGATGCTTGGCTGGAGAGTAGGATGGATTCCATCTCCTGCTTTTCCATCCTGGGAAAAGGCAGACTCTGCCCTATGCAATGTCCATGCTTAACCCTCTTTTGACTGATCCTGGCACTTCCCAGGACCGTCCTCATTCCTGCTTTTCCCAGCTCTCCTCCCTGGCCAGGCAGCCTGTTCCCCTTGTCCTGCCCATCCCTCTTTGCTGTTCCCTGGCCCTTCACTCTGCTGACCTCTCCGTGGCTGACAGCACAGTGATCCTACCCAAAAACACAGCTGGGTGGTACCTGCAGGTGGGAAACCTCAAAGCTGCCCCAGGAGAGCACCGGGAATTCAGGCACTGGCCCCCATGAGGCCCTCCACAAGGATTTTAGGCTGAATTTCCCAGTTGCTGGGTCATTCACTCTATTAAATGCTCTTTGCAATTGTCCTTTTCTCATCCTCTGCCTTCTCAAACTGCTCCTGCACTTAAAATTGGAGGTGGCCAAATTTAAATACTTCTCCAGCCCCCCATGGTTTGTAACAGATACAAAGGTATGTGATAACTGTGCTGACCAGCTCCCAGCTTGCAGCCTATGAGCAGGATTTCACAGTACTTGTTGGGTTATTGTTGGTGTAATCCACTGTCCTGTACAAAAGCAGCAAAATTAGGTTTCCTACAGCACAGGCATTCCTTTGAAAACCCGTTTTCCTGAGCTCTGTTTATGACACAGTGGAGGTTCATATTCCCTCTATTTTCCTTTCCCAATTTAGAGCTTTTTCTGAAGGAATTGTTGAAAACAGGCATGTTTAAAAAACAACCCTATCATCTAAAAGCTTCAGCCATCTCACCAGTGATAACAATATTCATTTGTCATCTCACCAAACCAGCTGACAATGGGCAACCCTCTCCCAGAGCCTCATCTCGACCAAATATGTTTCGAATTGAGGAATTAACCGTTCTGAAGCATCTGCCATCTCCCTCACCACTACCTGCTGTCTGCTCTCACCCAGCAGACTGTTTTCTCTGTAAGACTTGAGTCTTTCAGCCATCACATTGCTCTGATTGTGTCCCACATGTAGCAAATTTAAATAAATGCATACAATAGAGCCCTGGTGCCCTGGGAGCTGCCAAGAGCACGTGACACACTCACCTACCCTGGCAAGTGTGTGAGCTCACAGCAAACACCCCAGGAAAGAGCTGCCAAGGAGATTTTTGTGTTAATTCAACTCCTTTATTCAGCCTAACACACACATCCAGCTAAAATGCCTTTCCTCTCACTCACATTCCTCATCTCCCACTCCATCCTATACAAGAGGTTATGCACCTCAACTCATAACACATCTAATGTTAGAAAATTAGAGAGGCATTTTTTTCAATGGTTGCTTGGCTATTTATGCAAAAATATAATGTTGCAGAAATGTTTGCACAAGGCCTACTTAATTTTAACTTGGAGAAAAAGAGAAATCTACAAATTTTGCATGTGTTCATAGGGCACAGTGTGAGGCTTAGGCAGCAAAAGGTGAGCAGAAAGCAGAGCTGGGCAACATCCTCCTACCCATCCACAGGGCTGTTTGGCTTTCTAATAGCCAAACCTATAATAACTGTTAAATTATAGATTTTTTTCATAATCTGAAGTTGTCTCAGCAGCACAGATGAAGGCATAAGAAGAGCTGGGCTTTAAGGATGACTTTTCCCTGATGGTTAACAGCGATGCAGCTGTGCCATGTAATTCGCCTCTGCGTCTGCTTCTAGTGGTTTTCTTGCAAAAATGATAAAAGCAAAGAATTTGTCAGTGCCCAGAGATGCCCTGTCACAGAGCCACACAAGGCAGGGCACGGCACGGAGTCTGCAAACCACATGCAAAGGAATTGATGATAGATGGAGCGGGGATATTGCATGAAGTGGCAACACTGGGTGTGCGCCAGAGCCTGCCAGGCTGGAGCTGGGGCTGGGGCTGGGCTGGGGCTGGAGGAGTGTGGCTGCTGTGGGTGGGTGGTCAGGCAAACCCAGGGACAGCAGTTACTCAAGCCAGGGCTCGGGTTCCCCCGGTGTTTTGAGGTCAGACCCCAGAGCTGATCTCTGCGTGGCCCCAGCTGGGGACGCTGGGGCTGGAGGAGTCCCATGGTCCTGCTGCTCCTCCACTGGGGGGGTGGATGGGCTCATCCCAGAGGGCAAGGGAGCAGGATGCCCTTTGCCCTGGACACATCAAACCCCTGGTGTTGCATTGACCCTTTAGGTGTGGGGGCTGTCCAGAGAAGCAACAAAGCTCCAGATATAAGAAATTTTGCACGTTCATCTTTTCAGACAGACAAGGCTGAATAGTTCCTTTCTCACTAGTTTTTGAGAAAGCACAAAGAGTTCCCAACACACCAAAGCCGTGCTTCCAGTTCCTTCTGCTTTCCCTCTGCTCCAAATGATGTTGCAAGTGAAATTCCACATCTGGGTCCTGCAAACCTTCGTCCGCCCCGCTCTGTCGTGGGCCGCCGTAAATCAGGGCCCTGGTGTTATTTCTTTTGATTAAATTCCCTCCTGATATTTGCCAGATTATTGGCACTAATGTAATTCTATTGGAGCAGAGAGTCTGCAGGATTTTATAGCCCGGCTGTAAAACAGCTCTGCACTTGAGGGAGAGGCTTTACACACTTTTTGATGAAAAGATGACAAATGATACACGTTATGAATGCACTTGTGCTGAGGCTGCCAGTGTAAACCCCTTGTGGAGGGGCAGGATTTGGCACCTGGAGAGGTCACATTCATTAGGACTCCGTGTTTTGGTAAAAAATGGGATTGTCTGATTCCCTGGTGCTGCCACAGCTCCACGCCTGTGCAGAGCCTGGCAGGTTTTCCATCTGCACTGAAGCACTTAATGGCTTGTTCAAAACCCAAAAGGCACTCCCAGCCTACCTGCCCATCCTGGCTCGTAACCACAAAGGGTCAAGCCTTTGACATTTTCGTTTTGGAGGCAGTTTGGGTTGAAGCAGAGGGAGGGTAAGTGCCATCCCCATGGGCTCAGCCTCTGATCCTTGATTTCATGGGTGCAGACACAGGTTTTCTTCCCACCCAGCTGCAGGTCCTGAGTGGGGGGACTAACACAGTCGAACCCCTTTGGCTCCCGGTGCTGCCTGGAGAGGGGAGCAGAGCCTCTGGTGACAGGGACAGTGGGACGAGTCCCCGCCTCTCTCCACTGACTATAGAGGGAGCTGCGTGACCAGCTTAGAGCTGAGAGCTCATTTCCACGAGGCTGAAGCCAGGGGAGATGGAACCTCTCTTTGCTGCCTGGAGCCCCGCTGGGAAGTTGGGGTGCAGAGGGCAGTGGGGATAAACCCCACCTTAGACAGAAGAATCTGAGAAGGGGCTCACTGCC